ATGATACACGAAACATGATACACGAAACATGATACACGAAACATGATACACGAAACATGATACACGAAACATGATACACGAAACATGATACACGAAACATGATACACGAAACATGATACACGAAACATGATACACGAAACATGATACACGAAACATGATACACGAAACATGATACACGAAACATGATACACGAAACATGATACACGAAACATGATACACGAAACATGATACACGAAACATGATACACGAAACATGATACACGAAACATGATACACGAAACATGATACACGAAACATGATACACGAAACATGATACACGAAACATGATACACGAAACATGATACACGAAACATGATACACGAAACATGATACACGAAACATGATACACGAAACATGATACACGAAACATGATACACGAAACATGATACACGAAACATGATACACGAAACATGATACACGAAACATGATACACGAAACATGATACACGAAACATGATACACGAAACATGATACACGAAACATGATACACGAAACATGATACACGAAACATGATACACGAAACATGATACACGAAACATGATACACGAAACATGATACACGAAACATGATACACGAAACATGATACACGAAACATGATACACGAAACATGATACACGAAACATGATACACGAAACATGATACACGAAACATGATACACGAAACATGATACACGAAACATGATACACGAAACATGATACACGAAACATGATACACGAAACATGATACACGAAACATGATACACGAAACATGATACACGAAACATGATACACGAAACATGATACACGAAACATGATACACGAAACATGATACACGAAACATGATACACGAAACATGATACACGAAACATGATACACGAAACATGATACACGAAACATGATACACGAAACATGATACACGAAACATGATACACGAAACATGATACACGAAACATGATACACGAAACATGATACACGAAACATGATACACGAAACATGATACACGAAACATGATACACGAAACATGATACACGAAACATGATACACGAAACATGATACACGAAACATGATACACGAAACATGATACACGAAACATGATACACGAAACATGATACACGAAACATGATACACGAAACATGATACACGAAACATGATACACGAAACATGATACACGAAACATGATACACGAAACATGATACACGAAACATGATACACGAAACATGATACACGAAACATGATACACGAAACATGATACACGAAACATGATACACGAAACATGATACACGAAACATGATACACGAAACATGATACACGAAACATGATACACGAAACATGATACACGAAACATGATACACGAAACATGATACACGAAACATGATACACGAAACATGATACACGAAACATGATACACGAAACATGATACACGAAACATGATACACGAAACATGATACACGAAACATGATACACGAAACATGATACACGAAACATGATACACGAAACATGATACACGAAACATGATACACGAAACATGATACACGAAACATGATACACGAAACATGATACACGAAACATGATACACGAAACATGATACACGAAACATGATACACGAAACATGATACACGAAACATGATACACGAAACATGATACACGAAACATGATACACGAAACATGATACACGAAACATGATACACGAAACATGATACACGAAACATGATACACGAAACATGATACACGAAACATGATACACGAAACATGATACACGAAACATGATACACGAAACATGATACACGAAACATGATACACGAAACATGATACACGAAACATGATACACGAAACATGATACACGAAACATGATACACGAAACATGATACACGAAACATGATACACGAAACATGATACACGAAACATGATACACGAAACATGATACACGAAACATGATACACGAAACATGATACACGAAACATGATACACGAAACATGATACACGAAACATGATACACGAAACATGATACACGAAACATGATACACGAAACATGATACACGAAACATGATACACGAAACATGATACACGAAACATGATACACGAAACATGATACACGAAACATGATACACGAAACATGATACACGAAACATGATACACGAAACATGATACACGAAACATGATACACGAAACATGATACACGAAACATGATACACGAAACATGATACACGAAACATGATACACGAAACATGATACACGAAACATGATACACGAAACATGATACACGAAACATGATACACGAAACATGATACACGAAACATGATACACGAAACATGATACACGAAACATGATACACGAAACATGATACACGAAACATGATACACGAAACATGATACACGAAACATGATACACGAAACATGATACACGAAACATGATACACGAAACATGATACACGAAACATGATACACGAAACATGATACACGAAACATGATACACGAAACATGATACACGAAACATGATACACGAAACATGATACACGAAACATGATACACGAAACATGATACACGAAACATGATACACGAAACATGATACACGAAACATGATACACGAAACATGATACACGAAACATGATACACGAAACATGATACACGAAACATGATACACGAAACATGATACACGAAACATGATACACGAAACATGATACACGAAACATGATACACGAAACATGATACACGAAACATGATACACGAAACATGATACACGAAACATGATACACGAAACATGATACACGAAACATGATACACGAAACATGATACACGAAACATGATACACGAAACATGATACACGAAACATGATACACGAAACATGATACACGAAACATGATACACGAAACATGATACACGAAACATGATACACGAAACATGATACACGAAACATGATACACGAAACATGATACACGAAACATGATACACGAAACATGATACACGAAACATGATACACGAAACATGATACACGAAACATGATACACGAAACATGATACACGAAACATGATACACGAAACATGATACACGAAACATGATACACGAAACATGATACACGAAACATGATACACGAAACATGATACACGAAACATGATACACGAAACATGATACACGAAACATGATACACGAAACATGATACACGAAACATGATACACGAAACATGATACACGAAACATGATACACGAAACATGATACACGAAACATGATACACGAAACATGATACACGAAACATGATACACGAAACATGATACACGAAACATGATACACGAAACATGATACACGAAACATGATACACGAAACATGATACACGAAACATGATACACGAAACATGATACACGAAACATGATACACGAAACATGATACACGAAACATGATACACGAAACATGATACACGAAACATGATACACGAAACATGATACACGAAACATGATACACGAAACATGATACACGAAACATGATACACGAAACATGATACACGAAACATGATACACGAAACATGATACACGAAACATGATACACGAAACATGATACACGAAACATGATACACGAAACATGATACACGAAACATGATACACGAAACATGATACACGAAACATGATACACGAAACATGATACACGAAACATGATACACGAAACATGATACACGAAACATGATACACGAAACATGATACACGAAACATGATACACGAAACATGATACACGAAACATGATACACGAAACATGATACACGAAACATGATACACGAAACATGATACACGAAACATGATACACGAAACATGATACACGAAACATGATACACGAAACATGATACACGAAACATGATACACGAAACATGATACACGAAACATGATACACGAAACATGATACACGAAACATGATACACGAAACATGATACACGAAACATGATACACGAAACATGATACACGAAACATGATACACGAAACATGATACACGAAACATGATACACGAAACATGATACACGAAACATGATACACGAAACATGATACACGAAACATGATACACGAAACATGATACACGAAACATGATACACGAAACATGATACACGAAACATGATACACGAAACATGATACACGAAACATGATACACGAAACATGATACACGAAACATGATACACGAAACATGATACACGAAACATGATACACGAAACATGATACACGAAACATGATACACGAAACATGATACACGAAACATGATACACGAAACATGATACACGAAACATGATACACGAAACATGATACACGAAACATGATACACGAAACATGATACACGAAACATGATACACGAAACATGATACACGAAACATGATACACGAAACATGATACACGAAACATGATACACGAAACATGATACACGAAACATGATACACGAAACATGATACACGAAACATGATACACGAAACATGATACACGAAACATGATACACGAAACATGATACACGAAACATGATACACGAAACATGATACACGAAACATGATACACGAAACATGATACACGAAACATGATACACGAAACATGATACACGAAACATGATACACGAAACATGATACACGAAACATGATACACGAAACATGATACACGAAACATGATACACGAAACATGATACACGAAACATGATACACGAAACATGATACACGAAACATGATACACGAAACATGATACACGAAACATGATACACGAAACATGATACACGAAACATGATACACGAAACATGATACACGAAACATGATACACGAAACATGATACACGAAACATGATACACGAAACATGATACACGAAACATGATACACGAAACATGATACACGAAACATGATATACGAAACATGATACACGAAACATGATATACGCAGCTGGTGGACGGGGTGTCTAGTCTGGCGCAGTGCTTCCAACAACTGACTGTTCACTATCACAGACCCAATTTTGGAAGTATTTTGTTTCGTTTTACCCCCAGGTTGTACCACCTTTATTTGGACAAAGCGTCTACAGGACCAGTACAAGAAAGCAAATGTTTCTACCTCCCTACTCGACCATTACAAAAAAAGCAGCTGTTTCTATGTTGACCCATGTCATTGATGCAAACATCATTTTTTTAAAATCAGTTTGAGAACCTTTGGTCACTAGGAAGGCACTGATTAAACGTATCGTATTTTTTTTTGACTTGCTTCACAAGATTTTTGTTTGAAATAAAAATAAAACTACTGTATAATCATAATCTTTTAAGCGCAATGAGAATAAGAATAATTATACATAAACAACCTTGCTATTTACACAATTTAATAAACCTTACAGTTTTTTTTTAAAGAAGTCTGTAGCACATGGTTGCAAAATCTTTCAACTCATCATAGACAATATTTTCCCCCTTCTTACTCTCAGGTCAGCTATTAGATTTAAAACCAGTCAGCCGTTATCCCAAAGTCGCCGCCCTCGGCTAGCAGATAGAGAGATCGCTAATACTTTAATGGTTATTTGCCCTTTCCAATTTTAGTAGTATTTTTAAATAAGCTTCATTACCATAACCAAATTTAACCCCACGATCTACACCCAGTCACTTATCTCACACCAGACACACGATTTACCATACACCAAACCACACCCATACCAAAACCCACACCACCTCACACAGTACGACACCATGAACTGAATACCTAAGCAAACCTTCACACAACCCCGACCCACACGTCAACACACTTTCGAACGCCACCCGACATCCTAAACCAAAACATCGCACGGTGAACGGAAAAAAGCACAGGAAAAAAAAACCACAGAAAAAAAGTCACAGTTTTTGCTAGGAAAAAAGTCACAGAAAAAAATTCAAAATGGAAAAATTTTATCGGAAAAAAAGTAACAGAAATAGTCACAGAAAAAAAGTCACAAAAATCTTTTTAGAAATATTTTGAATTATTTGTTTAGAATAGTAAAATTTTGTATGTTTATTGTTGTGGGTTGTATTTTTTTATAGCATATATTATTTATAGATGTTAAAAGCCTTATGGTTTATAACAATTGTAAGTAAAAATACTCTAAGATAATTTACACAGCAATCTCAACTTTTGTTACGTATTTAGTTAAACACGCGGTAGAAAAATTTCTAGATCTAGATGATCTAGATCTACGGAAAAACTAGACTTACACAGATGTAGACCCTACCTAGATCTAGAATCTATTCAAATAATATATTTCTATACTAAAGTATTTCAGGCCTCAATTACTTTATTGAAATCTTTGTTTATCTATGCAATTTGCTAATCTCTATAATATATAAAGCAAAGTTGTCGGAAGCCCGGTAGGGCACTTCCCGGCGCCGCAGGCGCTTCAAATTTGGCAGGATCTTGCCTTGGGGCGACAGAACACGGGGGCCGGTTGGCCGAAAAGTCTACGATGAGGGGGTCAAAACTGACCTCGACTGACCGGCGACTTATATGAGCTATAAATCGTACAAAAATGTCCACGTAGGAACCTCTTCGTAACTCCTGAGGTCGTAGACCGACCCACGTGCGAATTAATTAAGCACTCAAATTCTCAATGTTTTCGAAAAGCCTAAGCGAAGCAGGGCAGTATGCCTAGTTAAATATGTTGACCAATCCATGTCTATAATTAAGAGTGATTATTTCCCCTATTGACGTTCGCTTGACTAAATAAAATGTCATTATGTCAAATTGTTTTTTTTTTGTTTTTTATTTTTGCAATATTTAGAAAACAGAGTGTGTTGCGTTTGTTTTTGGTTGTGTTGTGTGTATATTTTGTTTGGTGTGATAAACTGTTGTTGACCTAGATTGTGTTTGTTCTTGTTTTTTTCAGAATGAAACAAACGTTTCACTTTTTGTCTGTGTTGGCATGTGAAGTTTTTAAATGCTGGTTTCTAGCAGAGTTGAGTTGATGTGTTCGTTCATCCATTTATAGAACATAAAACATTACATCTTGATTTGTTAAAGGAAAAAAAAACATTTGAATAGTCTAAGGGGCCACTACACTCTGTAAAACAAACTAGCCTACAGTAGAGATAAGCAAGTACAAATATACTATTATTAATAGTTTGCAACTGTAAATAAAAATTCCACATTCTCAGGACCTAATTATGCATGGTTGCCATGGCAACGGCGGCCATCTTGGAAAAACACACCTTTTTTTTACAAATCTATAATGTGAACAAATAATGATGGTATTATTTCTGTTTATTTAACTAGAATCATTGTAGAGTGTACTAAGGAAGTTTTGTTTTCATTAAAATGTAAAAGAAACATTTTCTAAAATTTTTATAAAAAATGTATCATACAAAACAAGGCATACTAGTTGTGAAATTTCTTAAAAATAAAAATATACACAATGCACATCATTCTCACATAGATAGTTACACCATAACATGAATAATGAAAATGTACACCAAGTTTCAAGATATTATCTCTGGAAACACCTAAAACATTAGAGTTACAATAAGCAAAAATCTTGAAAAAAAACATGTTTTGAGAAAATTAACTTTTAAACATTGAAAGTTCCATTTAAAAAAATCTATCAGCCGTATCAAGAAGAAACTTTTAGTATCAAAATTACAACATAAGCAGTTGAAAAAGTAACCATTGCCAACTACAGTTTGCACATTCTTCTGAAGTTTTACCACTCATAATTTTATAGTGTGCACAATTCCGCAGTTTACTTGTACTAAAAGTTAAAACTTTCTGATCAACTATTGACATGTGTAGTTGCTATTGTCTTTTTCCCAGACTAACACAAGCTTGATATAGTACTATTTAGCATATTTGAACTATAGTTTAATACACATTTGACAAATAATGTACTAATAATATTCATATTCAACTTTAGCTTATGACGACATTCACATTCACAATTCTGCTTGAAAAGGGTGAGCTCAATAACTGATTTTGGTTCACACACAACCAGCTTTTTCAGCATTCACTGTAGGAATTGTTGGACTGTAAAATAAAAGAACATTATTTAATTTTAAAAAGTTAATAATATACATTTATACATAACTAGAATGACTAATATTAGCAGTAACTCATCCTATTGTATAATTGTAACAACCTAATAACGTCATAGTCAATAAAATGGTATTTTGAAAAACTAATCATAATGAATTGGGCTTATATTATTATACTCACCTTAGGGGTCGTCCATAAATGACGTCACACTCGTAGGGGGGAGGGGTGTCCGTAATTTTGTGACGGTGTGTGATGAGGGGGAGGGGGGGGGGGTTCAGATTGCGACGCCACAATTTTGCATTATAAAAAAGCAATGTTAGAAAACGAATTTTAGACGTTATTTTCGAGTTTTAGAAAACTTTTTTAATAAATTGTAATAGGAATTGATTAAAATACTCTATTTTGACAGAGTTCAGACACCATTTTAGAAAAATATGTTTAAAAAAAATTCAACTGCAATTTTGAGGGGGGGGGGGGGTGTAGGCTGAGGTGTGACGTCATTTTAGGGGGGGGGGGTCTGCATTTTTGTGACGACGTATGGAAGAATTTAACACACAGTGTTCTATAGGACACATAAATACTGTTCATTAATTTAGGTGTTTTATACAGGGAGGAGAAGGAAAGAAGAGTTTATTAATTTAGTTCAGGGGTCCAGCCATCATATCTCCTGTACACAATACGCATTTTTCAGCAATTGTATTTTTTTTACTCTACAGAAATCATAATTTTCTTTTCATCTTTAAGGTGATCATTTGGGCACAGTCCAAACTTTTTAGAACCACTGAGGTGGGCATAATGGTTCTATATAGTCTACGTATCCCTGGCAACGGATAGCGGGTTGTCAACGATGGCCTGGTGTATCATGATGAACAGTGGCGAGTAGGTCAGGAAGTCGAGCAGGTCCAGGGCCGGCAGGTGACCCAGCCTCTCTTTCACACTCGCCTCGTGGGTCTCGCTGACCCCGCCTGACCGCAGCTCCACAATCAGCTGCTCCAGCGGGATTGTTTTGGTCGTGGGGTCAACGCAAATCTCCCACAGTTTCTGCAATGAAGATTAGGGCTTTAGAGTATTATAAAACCAAGGTTAACAAAACAACAACAGCCCCGCGACATTATTGTATTCATTTTAATGAGATTCTCACCGTACAGAGAAATGTCTTTATCTCTAAGTGTTTGAAGTCTAACTCTTGGATCATCAGCTTCATCCATGAACTGTAAGACAACAAAGTCGAACTTTTATTGTCGTTTTTCAAGTAAAACGGGGAGGGAAGTATTACATATATATATATATATATATATATATATATATATATATATATATATATATATATATATATATATATATATATATCTTGCTTGAGATCTTGCCTGAGGTCGTCAATTTTTCTTCATAATGTTAGATATTTTTACATTAGTGCCTATAATTGGGTAAGGTCTAACACGCTGGGCCAAACACTCGTGTGAATGTGTACTCACTCTAGCGATGTGATCCGCTGAGACAGGGTGGCCAGCACGGAGAAGACCTTGAAGTCGACACCGTCACAGGTGTTGTACCCTGTCAGCTCCAGGACCTGAAACCAGTGGGGTGTGACAGCAACACGATAACTGTTTCCCAGTTCCTTACACAGATATCTTAGCCTGGTTTGATTTTTGTCCGAAGTTCATGGTGCAGTAATAAAATTGACATCGTATCTGAACAATTTTCACAACTACATAACATCTTTTAATACTACACTCAGCTTAAGTTCAAAATATATTTTATCACATTCCTTCACACATCTGATCTTATCTTCCCTAAATGATGACTCCCCCCCCCCATCCAGGAAACACAACAGACCGTACCCTGTAAAGAAACTCTTCCTCCTTGGAGTTGAGCTTTGTGTTGATGATCCTGAGGGCTGTAGCTGCCTCCCCCCGGGACAGCCAGCCCCACCGTCCCTGGTCCAGCTGTGAAGTTGAAACAAGCAGGTAGAACTACGGGTAGGGCTTGACGCTCAGTATACAGACACTTGTGACATTCCAACATAGCCCTCAGACTACTGACTCACCACACTACATCACATTACCAACAATCCCAAACAACCAATTATCCACACTACCAACTCCCCCACACTACGGAGTCCACACAATACCAACCCCTAACACTACCAACTCCCTTAAACTACCAAATCCACACACTTTCAACTCCTCACATCAGCAAATTTCCCATACTACTCCCCACACTACCAGCTCCCCCGCCCCTACTACCAACTCCCCACACTACAACTCCCTCATACTACCAACTCCCCCCTACTACCAACTCCCCACACTACCAACTCCCTCATACTACCAACTCCCCACACTACCAACTCCCCCC